GTTGTGTTAGTCTCCTGAGGTGACCCACAGTGTTGTGTTAGTCTCCTGAGGTGACCCACAGTGTTGTGTTAGTCTCCTGAGGTGACCACAGTGTTGTGTTAGTCTCCCGAGGTGACCCACAGTGTTGTGTTAGTCTCCTGAGGTGGCCCACAGTGTTGTGTTAGTCTCCTGAGGTGACCCACAGTGTTGTGTTAGTCTCCTGAGGTGACCCACAGTGTTGTGTTAGTCTCCTGAGGTGGCCCACAGTGTTGTGTTAGTCTCCTGAGGTGGCCCACAGTGTTGTGTTAGTCTCCTGAGGTGGCCCACAGTGTTGTGTTAGTCTCCTGAGGTGACCCACAGTGTTGTGTTAGTCTCTGAGGTGACCCACAGTGTTGTGTTAGTCTCCTGAGGTGGCCCACAGTGTTGTGTTAGTCTCCTGAGGTGACCCACAGTGTTGTGTTAGTCTCCTGAGGTGACCCACAGTGTTGTGTTAGTCTCCTGAGGTGACCCACAGTGTTGTGTTGTCTCCTGAGGTGGCCCACAGTGTTGTGTTAGTCTCCTGAGGTGACCCACAGTGTTGTGTTAGTCTCCTGAGGTGACCCACAGTGTTCTGTTAGTCTCCTGAGGTGACCCACAGTGTTGTGTTAGTCTCCTGAGGTGACCACAGTGTTGTGTTAGTCTCCTGAGGTGACCCACAGTGTTGTGTTAGTCTCCTGAGGTGACCCACAGTGTTGTGTTAGTCTCCTGAGGTGACCCACAGTGTTGTGTTAGTCTCCTGAGGTGGCCCAAAAGTGTTGTGTTAGTCTCTGAGGTGGCCCACAGTGTTGTGTTAGTCTCCTGAGGTGACCCACAGTGTTGTGTTAGTCTCCTGAGGTGGCCCACAGTGTTGTGTTAGTCTCCTGAGGTGGCCCACAGTGTTGTGTTAGTCTCCTGAGGTGGCCCACAGTGTTGTGTTAGTCTCCTGAGGTGACCCACAGTGTTGTGTTAGTCTCCTGAGGTGACCCACAGTGTTGTGTTAGTCTCCTGAGGTGACCCACAGTGTTGTGTTAGTCTCCTGAGGTGACCCACAGTGTTGTGTTAGTCTCCTGAGGTGGCCCACAGTGTTGTGTTAGTCTCCTGAGGTGACCCACAGTGTTGTGTTAGTCTCCTGAGGTGGCCCACAGTGTTGTGTTAGTCTCCTGAGGTGGCCCACAGTGTTGTGTTAGTCTCCTGAGGTGACCCACAGTGTTGTGTTAGTCTCCTGAGGTGACCCACAGTGTTGTGTTAGTCTCCTGAGGTGACCCACAGTGTTGTGTTTAGTCTCCTGAGGTGACCCACAGTGTTGTGTTAGTCTCCTGAGGTGACCCACAGTGTTGTGTTAGTCTCCTGAGGTGACCCACAGTGTTGTGTTAGTCTCCTGAGGTGACCCACAGTGTTGTGTTAGTCTCCTGAGGTGACCCACAGTGTTGTGTTAGTCTCCTGAGGTGACCCACAGTGTTGTGTTAGTCTCCTGAGGTGACCCACAGTGTTGTGTTAGTCTCCTGAGGTGACCCACAGTGTTGTGTTAGTCTCCTGAGGTGACCCACAGTGTTGTGTTAGTCTCCTGAGGTGACCCACAGTGTTGTGTTAGTCTCCTGAGGTGACCCACAGTGTTGTGTTAGTCTCCTGAGGTGACCCACAGTGTTGTGTTAGTCTCCTGAGGTGACCCACAGTGTTGTGTTAGTCTCCTGAGGTGACCCACAGTGTTGTGTTAGTCTCCTGAGGTGACCCACAGTGTTGTGTTAGTCTCCTGAGGTGACCCACAGTGTTGTGTTAGTCTCCTGAGGTGACCCACAGTGTTGTGTTAGTCTCCTGAGGTGACCCACAGTGTTGTGTTAGTCTCCTGAGGTGACCCACAGTGTTGTGTTAGTCTCCTGAGGTGACCCACAGTGTTGTGTTTAGTCTCCTGAGGTGGCCCACAGTGTTGTGTTAGTCTCCTGAGGTGGCCCACAGTGTTGTGTTAGTCTCCTGAGGTGACCCACAGTGTTGTGTTAGTCTCCTGAGGTGACCCACAGTGTTGTGTTAGTCTCCTGAGGTGACCCACAGTGTTGTGTTAGTCTCCTGAGGTGGCCCACAGTGTTGTGTTAGTCTCCTGAGGTGGACCCACAGTGTTGTGTTAGTCTCCTGAGGTGACCCACAGTGTTGTGTTAGTCTCCTGAGGTGACCCACAGTGTTGTGTTAGTCTCCTGAGGTGACCCACAGTGTTGTGTTAGTCTCCTGAGGTGACCCACAGTGTTGTGTTAGTCTCCTGAGGTGACCCACAGTGTTGTGTTAGTCTCCTGAGGTGACCCACAGTGTTGTGTTAGTCTCCTGAGGTGACCCACAGTGTTGTGTTAGTCTCCCGAGGTGACCCACAGTGTTGTGTTAGTCTCCCGAGGTGACCCACAGTGTTGTGTTAGTCTCCTGAGGTGACCCACAGTGTTGTTGTTAGTCTCCCGAGGTGACCCACAGTGTTGTGTTAGTCTCCCGAGGTGACCCACAGTGTTGTGTTAGTCTCCCGAGGTGACCCAGTGTTGTTAGTCTCCTGAGGTGACCCAGTGTTGTGTTAGTCTCCTGAGGTGGCCCACAGTGTTGTGTTAGTCTCCCGAGGTGACCCACAGTGTTGTGTTAGTCTCCCGAGGTGACCCAGTGTTGTTAGTCTCCTGAGGTGACCCAGTGTTGTGTTAGTCTCCTGAGGTGGCCCACAGTGTTGTGTTAGTCTCCCGAGGTGACCCACAGTGTTGTGTTAGTCTCCCGAGGTGACCCAGTGTTGTTAGTCTCCTGAGGTGACCCAGTGTTGTGTTAGTCTCCTGAGGTGGCCCACAGTGTTGTGTTAGTCTCCCGAGGTGGCCCACAGTGTTGTGTTAGTCTCCCGAGGTGACCCAGTGTTGTTAGTCTCCTGAGGTGACCCAGTGTTGTGTTAGTCTCCTGAGGTGGCCCACAGTGTTGTGTTAGTCTCCTGAGGTGGCCCACAGTGTTGTGTTAGTCTCCCGAGGTGACCCACAGTGTTGTGTTAGTCTCCTGAGGTGGCCCACAGTGTTGTGTTAGTCTCCTGAGGTGACCCACAGTGTTGTGTTAGTCTCCTGAGGTGACCCAGTGTTGTTAGTCTCCTGAGGTGACCCACAGTGTTGTGTTAGTCTCCCGAGGTGACCCACAGTGTTGTGTTAGTCTCCTGAGGTGACCCAGTGTTGTTAGTCTCCTGAGGTGACCCAGTGTTGTTAGTCTCCTGAGGTGACCCAGTGTTGTGTTAGTCTCCTGAGGTGACCCACAGTGTTGCGTTAGTCTCCTGAGGTGACCCACAGTGTTGTGTTAGTCTCCTGAGGTGACCCACAGTGTTGCGTTAGTCTCCTGAGGTGACCCACAGTGTTGTGTTAGTCTCCTGAGGTGACTCACAGTGTTGTGTTAGTCTCCTGAGGTGACCCACAGTGTTGTGTTAGTCTCCTGAGGTGACCCACAGTGTTGCGTTAGTCTCCTGAGGTGACCCACAGTGTTGTGTTAGTCTCCTGAGGTGACTCACAGTGTTGTGTTAGTCTCCTGAGGTGGCCCACAGTGTTGTGTTAGTCTCCTGAGGTGACCCACAGTGTTGTGTTAGTCTCCTGAGGTGGCCCACAGTGTTGTGTTAGTCTCCTGAGGTGACCCACAGTGTTGTTAGTCTCCTGAGGTGACCCACAGTGTTGTGTTAGTCTCCTGAGGTGGCCCACAGTGTTGTGTTAGTCTCCTGAGGTGACCCACAGTTTTCTGTTAGTCTCCTGAGGTGACCCACAGTGTTGTGTTAGTCTCCTGAAGTGACCCACAGTGTTGTGTTAGTCTTCTGAGGTGGCCCACAGTGTTGTGTTAGTCGCCTGAGGTGACCCACAATGTTGTGTTAGTCTCCTGAGGTGACCCACAGTGTTGCGTTAGTCTCCTGAGGTGACTCACAGTGTTGTGTTAGTCTCCTGAGCTGACCCACAGTGTTGCGTTAGTCTCCTGAGGTGACTCATAGTGTTGTGTTAGTCTCCTGAGGTGACCCACAGTGTTGTGTTAGTCTCCTGAGGTGGCCCACAGTGTTGTGTTAGTCTCCTGAGGTGACCCACAGTGTTGTTAGTCTCCTGAGGTGGCCCACAGCGTTGAGTTAGTCTCCTGAGGTGACCCACAGTGTTCTGTTAGTCTCCTGAGGTGGCCCACAGTGTTGTGTTAGTCTCCTGAGGTGGCCCACAGTGTTGTGTTAGTCTCCTGAGGTGACCCACAGTGTTGTGTTAGTCTCCTGAGGTGGCCCACAGTGTTGTGTTAGTCTCCTGAGGTGGCCCACAGTGTTGTGTTAGTCTCCTGAGGTGGCCCACAGTGTTGTGTTAGTCTCCTGAGGTGACTCACAGTGTTGTGTTAGTCTCCTGAGGTGACCCAGTGTTGTGTTAGCCTCCTGAGGTGACCCACAATGTTCTGTTAGTCTCCTGAGGTGACCCACAGTGTTCTGTTAGTCTCCTGAGGTGACCCACAGTGTTCTGTTAGTCTCCTGAGGTGACCCACATGTTCCGTTAGTCTCCTGAGGTGACCCACAGTGTTCTGTTAGTCTCCTGAGGTGACCCACAGTGTTCTGTTAGTCTCCTGAAGTGACCCACATAGTGTTGACCACAGGTGTTAGCGCAATTACTGAGTGGGTACCACTGGTATCCTTGTGCGTCATCAACCTCCTGAGATTTCACCAGTGGGGGGCACAGTTCCGCTAATCCACTAACCACCAACAACGGAACTAACTTTTTGTATAACGGATTAGCATTTCCGCTAACTTCGGAAACCGTTAGCGGACCAATTAGCGTCCGCTAAATAAAGTTCTGCTAACTTTGAATCCGCTAAAAAAAATTTATTCGTTGTTGGTAGTCGGAAGCGCAAGTGTTTGTTCCTATCTGTTGTGGGCGTTTCTCCAACAGTCAATCAATCATGCTATTGGCTGACTATGTGTGTAAACGTGACTTGTCAACGTAGCAGCAGCAGCATTGTTATAGTCTTACAGTGCCAGTGATCACCGGGGTGCGTTGTCAGTTATCGTTATGAACAGGGGAGACGTTTCTGTTCCGCCTGAGGGTGTTGAGGAATCTGCAGCGGCTGTGGTTGAAGCAGAGGTTGCTCAGGCTGAGAGCCAGGAGTCGCAGAACCCGTGGCCCCACCTGGATGACTATTTTGTCCTCAAGTCAAGGGATACGAAGAACGCCAATATTTTGTACTTCCTGTGCGTCATGTGTCAGCCCAGGGAGACCATAAAGGGACAGGCGTCGAGCCTCTACAATTTGAAGTCATATGTTAAGAGGAAGCACCCAGCACATGCCATCAAGTTTGAGGAGAAAATCAAGGCCGGATCTTCCCGTGGAAAACACGGGCAATATTCTTGTTGCAGCGCCATTAGCAGGAGCAGCAGCCAGTTGTCACAGAGGCCTGCAAAGAGAGCACACCAGACCATTGGCGAAGCGTTCGTTGCTGCTGGCACAAGTGTCTGTCAGTCTGTAGTGGACACAGAGATTGTGAACTTATTCGTCTGTAATATACTACCGCTGCATGTACTGGAATTCCCCACCTTTGTCAGCTTGACCACGACACTGAGCTCCAGCAAGACGTCGATGTCTCGCTGCACTCTGGCCAGGAAGATTTCGGTCAGCCATAAACAGCTGGAGGAGTATTTTATAAGGCATTTATAGCACTTACTAAACTACTGCTATAGCTTTTTTATTATTTTCTTAATTTTCGTGGGTACTGCAAGTTATGAGTACAGTACCTTTCCCAGTGTTGTAAAGTAGCCAAGTAAAACTAACTGACTACTGTACTTGAGTAAGTTTTCTTGGTGTTTACTTTTCAGAAATTACTGATGATGTAACGAATAAACCATACCACGGGCGGGGATAGAACCCGCGATCAGAGAGTCTCAAAACTCCAGACCGTCGCGTTAGCCACTGGACCAGCTAGCCACAATAAGATTCGTCCAACTAGGTATATTTCTACACCATAGGAAGGTTAGCACAGGCACCACTGTGACCACAAATGCAAGTTTTTACAGACGAATCTCCAGCTAGCGTGGCCGTGACGAACTCTAGCTCAAGTCCCCTCACTGCCGTCAACATGACTCACGAAATCATAATGACACGATTGCAAACAAACCACACCACGGGCGGGGATAGAACCCGCGGGTTTTATCCCCGCCCGTGGTATGGTTTGTTTGCAATCGTGTCATTACGATTTCGTGAGTCATGTAACGAGTAATGTATCGTTATCAGATGGTAATGAAGTAAAAGTAATAACAGACTTCTGTACTTACGTAAAAGTAATGAGCAATTTCAGTACTTTTACGAAAGTAAATAACGAAGTTACTTAAGTACAGTATTCAAGTAGTTTTACTTCGTCACTTTACAACACTGATACTTATACTCGAGTATAAGTCTTAAAAGTAAAATTAAAAGACCAAAAATCTAAACCGAATCTGAATTCATGTAAAAAAGTTAGCGTTAGCTTCCGCTAATTTTTTCGGCTGTTTAGCGTTATCGGAGTTAATTTTTAAGTTAGTGGATTAGTGGCTAGCGAAGCTAACTTTTCGGTTATCTGTGCCCACCACTGGATGTCACCCACTGAATCTGGTAACATAAGAAAGAGCAAAAGGACCCCAGTGGAAATAAGTCACTGTGATTTTTTGGGGTTATCCTGGGTACGTAACACATATGCTGCTATGTATGATGATGGAAATAAGTCACTCTGTCTGACTTTTTTGGGTTATCCTAGGTTCTCTACACATATGCTGCTATGTATGATAATTCTATGTAACTGTATTGTGTATACCTGAATAAACTTACTTACTTACTTACTTATATGTGTATACCTGAATAAACTTCTTTACCAGGACCGTAGACTACGTCAGGGTCCACCCACTGAGTACTGTAACCAGCAGTGTTAGTCTCCTGAGGTGACCCACACAGGACAAGAGAGCTGAACCACACACCAGCAGTGTGTACCTCAGCAGTGTGTACCTCAGCAGTGTGTACCTCAGCAGTGTGTACCTCAGCAGTGTGTACCTCAGCAGTGTGTACCTCAGCAGTGTGTACCTCAGCAGTGTGTACCTCAGCAGTGTGTACCTCAGCAGTGTGTACCTCAGCAGTGTGTACCTCAGCAGTGTGTACCTCAGCAGCGTGTACATCAGCAGTGTGTACCTCAGCAGTGTGTACCTCAGCAGTGTGTACCTCAGCAGTGTGTACCTCAGCAGTGTGTACCTCAGCAGTGTGTACCTCAGCAGTGTGTACCTCAGCAGTGTGTACCTCAGCAGTGCGTACCTCAGCAGCGTGTACATCAGCAGTGTGTACCTCAGCAGTGTGTACCTCAGCAGTGTGTACCTCAGCAGTGTGTACCTCAGCAGTGTGTACCTCAGCAGTGTGTACCTCAGCAGTGTGTACCTCAGCAGTGTGTACCTCAGCAGCGTGTACATCAGCAGTGTGTACCTCAGCAGTGTGTACCTCAGCAGTGTGTACCTCAGCAGTGTGTACCTCAGCAGTGTGTACCTCAGCAGTGTGTACCTCAGCAGTGTGTACCTCAGCAGTGTGTGCCTCAGCAGTGTGTGCCTCAGCAGTGTGTGCCTCAGCAGTGTGTACCTCAGCAGTGTGTACCTCAGCAGTGTGTACCTCAGCAGTGTGTACCTCAGCAGTGTGTACCTCAGCAGTGTGTACCTCAGCAGTGTGTGCCTCAGCAGTGTGTGCCTCAGCAGTGTGTGCCTCAGCAGTGTGTGCCTCAGCAGTGTGTACCTCAGCAGTGTGTACCTCAGCAGTGTGTACCTCAGCAGTGTCTACCTCAGCAGTGTGTACCTCTGCAGTGTGTACCTCAGCAGTGTGTACCTCAGCAGTGTGTACCTCAGCAGTGTGTACCTCAGCAGTGTGTACCTCAGCAGTGTGTGCCTCAGCAGTGTGTGCCTCAGCAGTGTGTACCTCAGCAGTGTGTACCTCAGCAGTGTGTACCTCAGCAGTGTGTACCTCAGCAGTGTGTACCTCAGCAGTGTGTACCTCAGCAGTGTGTACCTCAGCAGTGTGTACCTCAGCAGTGTGTACCTCAGCAGTGTGTGCCTCAGCAGTGTGTGCCTCAGCAGTGTGTGCCTCAGCAGTGTGTACCTCAGCAGTGTGTACCTCAGCAGTGTGTACCTCAGCAGTGTGTGCCTCAGCAGTGTGTGCCTCAGCAGTGTGTACCTCAGCAGTGTGTACCTCAGCAGTGTGTACCTCAGCAGTGTGTACCTCAGCAGTGTGTACCTCAGCAGTGTGTACCTCAGCAGTGTGTACCTCAGCAGTGTGTACCTCAGCAGTGTGTACCTCAGCAGTGTGTACCTCAGCAGTGTGTGCCTCAGCAGTGTGTACCTCAGCAGTGTGTACCTCAGCAGTGTGTACCTCAGCAGTGTGTACCTCAGCAGTGTGTACCTCAGCAGTGTGTACCTCAGCAGTGTGTGCCTCAGCAGTGTGTACCTCAGCAGTGTGTACCTCAGCAGTGTGTACCTAGCAGTGTGTGCCTCAGCAGTGTGTGCCTCAGCAGTGTGTACCTCAGCAGTGTGTACCTCAGCAGTGTGTACCTCAGCAGTGTGTACCTCAGCAGTGTGTACCACAGTGTAGTACCTCAGCAGTGTGTACCTCAGCAGTGTGTACCTCAGCAGTGTGTACCTCAGCAGTGTGTACCTCCAGCAGTGTGTACCTCAGCAGTGTGTGCCTCAACAGTGTGTACCTCAGCAGTGTGTACCTCAGCAGTGTGTACCTCAGCAGTGTGTACCTCAGCAGTGTGTACCTCAGCAGTGTGTACCTCAGCAGTGTGTGCCTCAGCAGTGTGTACCTCAGCAGTGTGTACCTCAGCAGTGTGTACCTCAGCAGTGTGTACCTCAGCAGTGTGTACCTCAGCGTGTGTCCCTCAGCAGTGTGTGCCTCAGCAGTGTGTACCTCAGCAGTGTGTACCTCAGCAGTGTGTGCCTCAGCAGTGTGTACCTCAGCAGTGTGTACCTCAGCAGTGTGTACCTCAGCAGTGTGTACCTCAGCAGTGTGTACCTCAGCAGTGTGTGCCTCAGCAGTGTGTGCCTCAGCAGTGTGTACCTCAGCAGTGTGTACTTCAGCAGTGTGTGCCTCAGCAGTGTGTGCCTCAGCAGTGTGTACCTCAGCAGTGTGTACCTCAGCAGTGTGTACCTCAGCAGTGTGTACCTCAGCAGTGTGTGCCTCAGCAGTGTGTGCCTCAGCAGTGTGTACCTCAGCAGTGTGTACCTCAGCAGTGTGTACCTCAGCAGTGTGTACCTCAGCAGTGTGTACCTCAGCAGTGTGTGCCTCAGCAGTGTGTGCCTCAGCAGTGTGTACCTCAGCAGTGTGTACCTCAGCAGTGTGTGCCTCAGCAGTGTGTACCTCAGCAGTGTGTACCTCAGCAGTGTGTACCTCAGCAGTGTGTACCTCAGCAGTGTGTACCTCAGCAGTGTGTACCTCAGCAGTGTGTACCTCTGCAGTGTGTACCTCAGCAGTGTGTCCTCAGCAGTGTGTCCTCAGCAGTGGTACTCAGCAGTGTGTACCTCAGCAGTGTGTACCTCAGCAGTGTGTACCTCAGCAGTGTGTACCTCAGCAGTGTGTGCCTCAGCAGTGTGTGCCTCAGCAGTGTGTACCTCAGCAGTGTGTACCTCAGCAGTGTGTACCTCAGCAGTGTGTACCTCAGCTAGATCAACCATTGCTGAGTTATAGTATGGGTGGGTCTGAGGTGTTATAAACAGGCTTTAATATCCCTCTAGTTTTGACCGGGACTGTCCCGGTTTGAAAGTCTTGTCCCGAAGTCCCGGTCAGTTTGCCTTTTTGTCCAGGACGGAAACACCGAAGCAATATGAATAAAAGAGAAATATTATTACAGTAACTAAGCGCTAAACCTACAAGAGTCATACAGCACACAGAAACATGAAAAACGGAAATTTCAATAAATTTGGTAGACTGCGCTGGTCCTGCGAAATAAACAATGATTGAAGTTACATCGAGTTTTATGAGAAAATAAAAAAAACTACTAAGAAAGGTTCTTTCTAGTGAAAAATACGAATGATTATCCAAAGAATTATTCGATACTTATGGGTTTTTTTTATTTTCATTCTGTAGATCTTAATTCAGAAACATATATTTTAGGTTAGGTAACACCTGTGAGGAAACAGGACAGGTGTTTCCTCCCAGGTGTTTATTTGTTTATTTGCATTAAGGAAAATATACCAATATTTCATGTATATTTTTTCTAGAACTTAAACAAGTTCAGCATCACGAAAACTGTCGATGAACATCGTTCAACTTGTGAAAACATAAAAGATTTTTTAGATTCTGGCAGTAAATTTAGGGAACTAAGTTTATTTACGAAAAATATCTGTTTTAAAAATGGTTATAACTATGACAATAATTTTTAAAGGGGTGGAGAGGTAAGCCAGCGGAAGGCCTCGGTCAGATGACCAAAAACTCCAATGGCGGGTCATCATTTGACTAAGACACGCATCAGGAAGCACTTGTCCTACACTAGGCAAGACTGGACAAATATTTTTACTGGCTACATATATGCCATCACACAGTGATGACATATATGTCATCACACAGTGATGACATATATGTGTCATCACTGTGTGATGACACATATGTGCCATCACACAGTGATGACATATATGTGCCATCACACAGTGATGACATATATG